TGGGATCACAGGTGTGAGCCACCAGGCCCGGCTAAGGTTGCATTAATTTCTTATTACTGATGCAACAAATTACCAGTGAACTTAGTGGTTTAAACAATATAAATGCATTATCTTACAGTCCTGGAAGTCAGAAGTCTAAAAATGTATTAAAAGGGTCACACCCCTGGAGCAGAAGGAAAGTGTCTGCCTGTTCCCTCTTGCAGAGATGGCCTGTGCTCCACTGTGTGTGGCCTTTCTCCATGCTGACCTCTGCTTCTATGGTCACATCTTCCCTGACTCTGATTCCCCTTCCTCCTGCTTCTACGAATATCTGTGACTACACTGGGACTCCTCTGGATAACTAAGGATAACCTCTGGGCATGTCAGGTGACACACACACAGGTTCTGAGGGTTTGGTCCTGGGCATCTCTGGTGGGGGGTGGGAACATTATCCTGCCTGTCTCACAGGTGAGTGAGGTTCCGATTGGTTAGTCCAGAGTCACATACCTGGGCCTGCAGCCTCATCCAAAGCACATGGGCTGAAGGTGGGGATGGTCCCCTGGGGACGAGGTGGTCCATTAACAGACCTGGAGGGATGGGATAGTGAGGAGGCCAGCACAGCAAACATTGGCAACAGAAAACGCAGGGGAAAACTTTGGGACTGTTTTGAACAATTTTTGTTAGATTCCCTGACACATTTCCTTTTGGGATCAACCTGTTTCTTTCCTCCACTGAGTGCATTTTACTGGCAGCTCTGCCTCTCAGAGTGCCTAGTGATCGGTTCACGTCACTGGGAATTCGGCATGCAACATATGACTTTTCTAGAAGTTGGTTGCCTCCTCAAGTGCATCCCAGGAGGAACTGCGTGGTGAGGAGAGCACACGGCTAGGACTTCAGCAATGTGGAGAAGCACTTAGTTATCCAATTTCTGAGCAAGGCCAGAGTGTCTGCTGGTCCTGGTGGGAGAGAGGAAGCAATTGCAGGATGATGGAAAACTACATAACGTATTACATTACTCTCCCTCAAATCCCCCAAATTTAAGGGAAAACAATCTTGAAAAGAATCATAAGCACATGAGAAGGTAACTTGAGGGGATGTTTATCTAATATAAATGGCAATATTCCTAAAGGCTAGGTTTGGAATCAAAGTGTCAGTGAGTTGTAAGATCTCAGAGTAACAGATGCCCATCTGCTGAGTTGGACAAAGTTGAGAAAAAATGAACACAAAGACCAAGCCAGGAACTTGGCCAAGGCCCAGCAGGGTCCCACCGTCTCATGTTTTTGGGGGGACACATTTGATGGCAGAGGCAGAAGAGGAAGATCAGGAATGCTGGTGGACTTCAGCCGAGCAAACCCACCATCCCCTCTGCAGGGGACACATGTGGTCATTATTCCTCTTCATGACCTTTTATCAGAGATTATGGGAATAAGGGAAGTGGACAGATGACAATGACTCGTCAATGACATGAAGCGGGCAATAGGGACAATTATGAAGCAGGGTATGAGCTCAAGAGGCAGCACTGCCTCATTGTTATGGCTCCGTCCCTGAATCACAGTGGAATCTGAGTCCCAGCTTTGCCACTTACTAGCTGCACAATCACAGGCTCTTTAACGTTTCAGAGCCTCGGTTTTAGCCTCGGTTTTTTCGTCTGTAGGACAGGGATAATGTTAGTATATGTATCGTGGAGTTGTCCCAGACATGGCCATGATGAAAACTCTGCCTGCTGGCTTGCCCCCAGACATACATGGGCCAGGCAGTTTTCCTCTGCTTAGACTGGAGCCCAGGAGGATCCATGATTTTGCTGAGTCCCCAAATCAGCTTTATAATAAAGTATTTCATGTTAACTTACTTAAGTCAAGAAAACAAATTTTCTTAAATTTAAATTTTCTTAAATTAATAGGAATATAATTTTCCACATGTTGAAAGTTCGATTCTATGGCCTGACTAAGGCTCTAACTACTCCCCCTCTCTACAAAAGGGGAGTTTGTTAGAGACACACTGAACTGTGTCCTTCTCCTGGGCCTACTCAGAGGACTGGCACAGAGCGGGAAAGGGAAGAACCTTCTCACTGTGTGTACTGTTGTTGAGTGTCACAGCCGAGGACTATCTGAAATCATGGTGGCCGGGTTGCTTTACAAATGAATGAAAATTCGGCCTCCTCTGACCACAGCTGCCCCGACTTCTCTCCCCACTGTGCAGCGCCTTCTTGGCTCACCCTGTGTCTTCGGTTCTTTATCCTTGAACTTCCTTGAGACATCAGTATAAGATCCTGAGGTCAGGGCTCAGCACTGTCCAGTCATCAGCCAGCACCCATGGGTGCCTGAGACCACAGTTTCCAGTGAAGACAAGGGACGGCCACTTCCATGCTACTGAAGGTAACAGTCCCAGCAAGTGGTCCATGCAGCAAGGACATCTCTAAACATACAGTACCAGGAAACCACCTCCTTCTTTTTTTCTCTTTTTAGCTGATTAGTGTATTTTCTATTTCTCTTTAGCCACCCCTCAGGCCAAGCTTTTTTTATTTTGTAGGATATGCATATTTTAATTCCCCAAAAAAGAGATAATAATTGTTATGATCAAATGTTTATTCTCACCACATTCATCTGTTGAAATCCTTATTTTTTTTTCTATTTATTTATTTAGAGACAGAGTCTCACTCCATTGCCCAGGCTAGAGTGCAGTGGCCTCAGCCTAGTTCACAGCAGCCTCAAACTCCTGGGCTCAAGTGATCCTCTTACCTCGGCCTCCAGAGTAGCTGGGACTATAGGTGCCTACCATAGCACCCAGCTAATTTTTCTATTTTTAGTAGAGACAGGGTCTTGCGGGGCTCAGGCTGGTCTTGAACTCCTGAGCTCAAGCAGTCTTCCTGCTTTGGCTCTTCAGAGTGCTAGGATTACAGGTGCAAGCTGTGGAGTCTCGCCCATCTGTTGAAATCTTAACCCTAAAGGCAATGGTGTTAGGAGGCGAGGCCTTTGGGAGGTGATTAGATCATGAGGGTGAATCTCTCCTGAACGGGATTAGTGCCCCTAGGAAAGAGGCTCCAGAGAGATGCCTACCTTCTACCATGTGAGGACACGGTTGGAAGATGCTATCTATCTCCCAGAGCCAGACACTAAATCTGCTGGCACCATCACCTTAGATTTCCAAGACTGCAGAAATGTGAGACACAAATTTCTGTTGTTTATAAGCCACCCAGTTTATGACATTTACTTATAGCAGCCCAAAGAGGCTAAGATAATCTTAAAATGATCCAAATTCTAGCCCAACAGGAACAGAAGATATCGCCAGTCTTGAGATTTCTAATTTTCAAAGCACTGAGCACACAAAAGTTTAAAACAATCCCCTCCCCACCTGTAGTCTTTGTCCTGTTTGTAGGCCAGTGACCCTTTGAAAGATGGTCCCATTCACACTCCAATCCTTTCTGTATTTTCACTTCATGGGACTAAGCATAATGGAAAGGGGATTGGGAGATGGAGGAACTTAAGTTATTGTCTTCAATTCTGGAAGCTCAAGTGCTATTCTAGTCACTACAACTCTCCCCAATTACCCCAAATTCATTGGTATAAGACAACCATTGGTTATGCTCATAGATTCTGAAGGTGGGAAATTCAGATAGGGCACAGCAGGGCTCAGGGGGAAGACCTTAAGGCTGGAAGCTTGAGTGTCTGAAGGCTCATTCATTCACAAATAAGTGGCTGACATTGGCTGGGAGGCCTCCGTTTCTCTGTGTGTCTGTTTCTCCAAGTGATCTCTCCATTTGGCTCCTTTGTGCTTCCTCACAACATGGCAGCCATGTTCAGAAGACCGGTGTCCCAGCCATCAGCCATGTAGAAGTCGTAACATGTTTTGTTACTTGCCTCAGATGTCTGCTGCATTCTCTTCTTAGCTGATGATTAAGGCCATGGTGGGGGCAGGGCTAGTGTTCACCCCCACCTTTAATGGGAAGAAAGTCAAAGGATTTGCAGACATGGTTTAAATCCACCCCATCCCCTGAGAATGAGGACCAACTCCAAGGCCTCTGTCATGTTTATCTGAGATGAAGATGGGAAAGGCTCCCCACACAGGCCTGGGAAGGCTATGAGGGAAAGGGGGGCTGCTGGGAGGCCATTTCCCATTAGGTGAATAGATGAAAGAATGAACTTGGCCTTTTGGGAGAGGAATCTAACTGTCACTGCAGCCACACCATCTGTACAGGGGCCATGAGGAAGTCCCTGAGCCTCAGGACCACTAACACAGATCTGTGTTGACTTTGCTCTGGGCCTCTGCCCCACCCAGCAGAGCTGAACACCTGGGAGAGGTAGGGAGACGGCTGGGGCCTCTGAGTCACGAGTGTAAAGTACACCCAGCACCTTGGCAAGCAGGCTCTTGTGCAAGGCTAAGGGGTCATTAGGGGAACATACTCTTAGACTTGAGATAAAAGATAACTCTTCACTGGAGCCATTTATCATCTCTCGCTGCTCCTGCGTGGGGGGCTGCTACTTTGGGCTGCGGGTCTCAGCGGGGGGGCGTGCGAGTGTGAGTGCGCCTGTGCTTGTGTGTGTGTGCGCGCGCCCGCCTGTGGCCTTCCGCAGCTGGCAGCTGTCTCGGCCCCCACCCCACCCCACCCTACCCAGTCGCTCCGCGCCGCCCCCTGCCCCTTGCTGTCCCGGGTGCGCCTCGGGCCGCTGCACTCCAGGCTGGGCCAGCTCCCCCAAGCCCGTGCCTGGGAGGCGACCCCCGGTGCTTCTTGGGTTCAAAGGCCCGGCGAGCAGCTCCAGCCCCTCCGGGGGGCGGGGAGGCGAGGGGGGTGGTGCGGGAGCCAGAAAGCCCGAGCCCACAGCGGGCCAGTCCTGCGCAGGGATGGGCAGCGCGCTCTGAAAGTTTGTGACTGTCCCAGCCAACTTGTGGCTGGAGCTGGCGCCGCAGCGAGCAAGCGACCAGCCCCGAAGGAGGGCGAGGCCAGATTTACCCCGTGCCGGTGCCCTTTCGCGGCCAGGAGCCGCCGTCCTCTGGGCCAGAGCTCCCGCGCCTGATCGGGGTTCATGGAGCCGGGGCTGTGGCTCCTTTTCGGGCTCACGGTGACCGCCGCAGGTAAGCGGGCGGGGCGCGTCCCTCTCCTGGCGGGAGCGCACACAAAAGGACTCAGAGGTGGAGGGACTGGGGGCGCGGAGAAGGTGTGCGTGGTGGGAGCAGACTCTCCCCTGGACTCTCCACCCCTGAAGACGCCTGGGGGCGGGCTGCGGGGCAGAGCGGCTTGCAAGGACTACCCCGCGGGCTCTGGGGCTTGCAGCCTAAGCACTGGATGGGGTCATGATGCCCAGATAGACTCGGTCATTTTTCACGAAGTTGGGAACTTTTCTAGAAGTTTTTAAACTATTCAGAGACTGCACAAAATGCTTGCAAATTTTGAGAAAGGGCACAAAATGCGTGCAAATTTTTCATGAGTGCAAATAGCTTGCAGACTTTGCAGAGGGAAAATAACTTGCAAGCATTTCATAAAGTATGCATTTAGCTGCGCACATCACTTTGCCAACTTTGCAGAAATTCTGCTTCTGTAATGCCCTCCTCAGGTGTTTGGGGGTGGCAGGTTTGAGAGGTCTACACACTCAGCTCAGGAGCCCTTCAATCTGCCTCCTGCAGGGTTCATGCCTCACCCCCAACCTGGGGATGCTGGCAGGAGTGGCATCCCCCAGGGCCCCCCTGAAGCCAGATCTGAGGGGGACCCTGAAGAGACGGGGGCTGGCCCCGGTGACAGGACTGCGGCTCCGGGTCCAAGCCCTAGCCCTGGGCAGGAGCAGACAAGTCAGGCCAGGGACCAGGAAGCTGAGAAGGGCCCTGAGCATCATCGGTCCAGGCGCTGTACCTGCTTCACCTACAAGGACAAGGAGTGTGTCTACTATTGCCACCTGGACATCATCTGGATCAACACCCCTGAGTGAGTCAGCCTGCGGGATAGGGGCCGTGGCTCCTGGGCCAGGCCCACCATTCACATTCCTGGGATGACCCCGTCCCACCCCAGCCCAGCTAGGTCAGCCCAGAACCTGCCCTGGTACAGCCTTCAGCTTCTTCTGGGGTCTTCTGCCAGCCCAGGTCCCTCCTGCAGGTCAGGGGTGTGACCCATATCCCCTCTGAGGACCTGGCCCAGGAGAAACCTGATCCCAGGTTTGGTCTGGGAGAAAGGGTAGCCCTCTTTGAGTGAACCTAGCTGGCCAGGGGGATTAGATACCTGAGAAGCCTCTTTCCTCACTTGGAGAAAGCCCCTCAGTTTATCTCATGCTCCAGGGGCTGAGTGGGGATCATAGCCCTGCTGGCCCCACCACAGGCTACAGGGAGTTTAAAATTCCTTGAAAGCAGCCCTTTCTCTAGGGGGACTGAGTGTGGGCTTAGCAGAGCCCAACAAAGCCTGCCCAGTTGGAGGGAGATTCCACCAGGGTGGTCTCCTTTCCTCCCCCTTTGCCTTTCTTGATGCCAAGGCAGGGTGGCTGTTCGATGGCCCACCCATGGGTCTTCTGCAAGCTGTCTCCAGCTGCACACTGCCATGGCCACAGAGGGCCCCCTTCCCCAGACCTTAAGAACTCTCTGACTATAGGATGTAGACTGGGGCCTGCCCTGCAGTGACATCAACCCTCTCCTGAGGCCATGTGCACAGAGTGTGGCTCTGCTGTGGGGAGGACTGGATGGGCCCATTTACTTCCTCAGCATGTTTATGGAGCCCCGGTGTGGAGCCATCACCTTGCAAACAGTGTAGATGGCCTGCCTGTGCTCTGATCACTAACCTTCTAGGATTTGCTTTCAAGAGCTACACATGGGGCAGCTCCTGTGGCTCAAAGGAGTAGGGTGCTGGCCCCATATGCTGGAGGTGGCGGGTTCAAACCCAGCCCTGCCCCCCCCCAAAAAAAAAAATCTACACACCTACAGAGTTTCAGGAAGGAGAGAAGGGACCACATCCTCTCAGCTCCATTCTCTGTGCATTCTTGGGATCTCCTGGGACTCTCGCTTGTACCCTATTAATGAGTCTTAGCTGGGAACTTGGACATGGTTGTAAATACAGACCTTTGGCCTGGAAAGGCAACTTCACCACTGTGCATGGGGCTGACTGGATCCACATCCCTCAGGGATTCCTCTGTCCACACGCCCTCTGAGCCCTCTGGGTGATGCTCACCCACCATGTTCCATGGGTACTTCTAGAATGAAGTGCAGAGGAGGGTAGAGGGGAGGGGTCCATTGTCTTCAAAATAGATGATAAGACCTCTGATCACATCCTGGTCATTATGCCAGGATGGCAGAGAGGGAAGGGCCCTGGTTAGTGTGGTCTTAAAATTCTTGATGAAATGACAGTGAAATTTCACTGTCTTGAAATTCTTAATGCTTTTTGAACCAAGGACTCCACATTTACTCGTATCCTGGGCCCCACAAATTCATAGCTGACCCTGACAGCTTGATGTGCCTGCCCAGCCTGTGTCCCCCTGTTGTCAGCCCATGATAGGAGGATGGGCAGCCCTCCTGGTTTCCTTTCCCTTTGTGGTGGAGATGAAAGTGATGTGTATGGGGCTACCAATGATCGCCTTCTCTTCTCAGCCATCAGTGTCACCTTTCCTTGTAGCCCCAGTCACCCTAACACTGTCCTTTCTGATTCTCATCCTTCTGGTATCATGAGCTGACAAATTAGCTTCACAACATTGAGGGCACCAACAGTAAGCAGGGACTGAGCCCTTGTCTCAGCAAGACTCTCGAGAGACTCCCGCGAGACGCCCAGAGGAGGAAGAACCCAGAGGAGGAAGAACCCAGGGGATGAGGGGCCGGGCCCTGGGGGCCATCTCAGCCCTTTGCCAGTGCCCCAGGCCCTTAGTGGCACTGGCTAGGGAGGAAGTGTTTGCTTGAGCTGCATCCTGGAGGCTCAGCAGACACCCTGCCTTCTGCCTGAAATCCTGTCTCCCAGTCTTGAGCTGTCTTGTATGGCCCAAAGGCATCTTTTGACTTTTTCCAGGGCAGGCAACTTCACAACTTTCCCTGTGCAGCTGATTTACCTTTCCCCCTCTTCTCTCACCCTGAGTTATTTTAGATACTTGGAAAAAAGGATTAAATCTGGTGTTTGGGCGTCCTGTGAGCTACATGGGAAACGAAAATGATGATAGCCAGACTTGAGTGTCTTGAAATTAGACAAGCAGAATAGTTTCTAGGAGGAAGATTGGATGGCCTCCCTCCCTTCCTTCTTCCCTTCTCTCTTTCCTGAAACTGTAGGTGTGTAGGTCAGTCTTCTGCTATCTTTAAAATAGACGAGACTTAAATTTGCGAAAATGGACTCTGGTGACGGGGAACGTGGGCCTGGGGTGAAATAGAAGAATCTGAAAAATTATAAATTGAGCTGAAGGGGCAGGGGCAGTGGGTGGCGGGGTCTTTTTGAGTGGTTCTGACCTCCCCCCATTCTGTCACAGACCCCCCTCTTGAGTGCCTCTCCCTCAGGGCCACCACCCCGTTGTCATTATCATGCTGACCTCCCTCTCCAGACCTCTCCACCAGGGTGTGGCTCACTCCCTGTCCTTATTATGACTGGCTCCTCTGAGAGACCAAGGGAGCCTTGATCCTCATGCCAAAATCAGGAGTCTTGACCTCTGGGTGGTTTTCACCTTTTTGGTGACTTTGTCCATTCTGTTGTATGGAGAGAGAATCAGTTCTCCCTTTTATCTCTGACGGGCATCTGAGTAAGGTCACGGATGCTGGTTCAAGGACTTAGGGTGCTGCAGGGGTAGTGTGGGGAGGGGCTAAGGAGACCCACTGCTAAGCAGACTCTTCCTCATGCAAAGTCAACTGTGTCGTTTCAACTGGAGGGAATAGTTACTCTCTTCAAAGCCTTTCATCTGGAAGCTCTGAGGCTCTGCAGTTCTGTTGTGGGCTCCCCCACTTTCTCCCACAGCCTCTCTCCTTAGACCTGAGCTTGGTCCGCCCTTTCTTTCAGCACTTGGCAGGTAACAGAGGCTTGGTGAGCGTGGGTTGACTTTTGGTTGAGTCCTGCTGGCTGGTTGTTCTTTCCCACCTTTGCTGTTACCAGGGTTTTAGGCTACAGAGGCCTTACCCACATGTACCTTCCTGCAGGTATGTGTCAACATGCGTATTTTTGGAGGGACACTGTCCATAATTTCTGTCATATCCTCCAGAAAGTCTGTGGCCCCAAGGAGGGACTGAATTTGTCCTTTGGCAAATGTTCTTCTTGTCCCTGTGGAGGTAGCTGAGATCACAGATAGTGGGATCACAGTGGGGTTTTCATGAGACTTTCCTCGGCCATGTTAGGAACCCCAGGCCTCTTCTACACCCAGATAACCACACTACTGCCGACAAAAGCCAAACCCCAAATCAGAGAAAAACACATCCCATTGTATTGTCATGGAACACTTGCTGAGAATAAGATAACAAGGGGAGAGGTGGTGATCCAGAGGTCTGTGAGCTTGAACTCTTTGAGAGGTTCTCTATGAGTACAGCTAATAAATGGGGCATGCTACCAGGTAGTGGGGGACTGTGTTAGGGATCTCCAGAAGGACAGGCAGGAGTGCATGTTGCTGTGGACCTATGGATAAGATCCGCAGTTACCGGGAGACGAATTTGGCTCCTCTTTGGGGCTATGGACTGTTTAAATGATAGGATGAAAGTTATAGCCAGTGACCCTCAGGAGGACATGGATGGAGAAAGAGAAAAGGAGACTTTAAGGAACTGGCCTACACTGGGGTGGGGGCTGACAAGTCCCAAACTCTGGGGGTCCCTAGGCTAGAAACCCCAGCAGGAGTTGAGGTTGCAGCTGTGAGCTGGGAAGCCTGGAGGCTGCGTTATTTTCTGGTCAGGGACCTCCGTCTTTTATGACTGACTGGGTGAGGCCTCCCTATAGTCTATAGGGTCACGTGCTTTGCTCAAAGTCTACTGATTTAAACGTTAATCACATCTAGAAAAATACTTTTACTTCAACACCCAGATTGGTGTTTGAGCAAACAACAGGGCATCATAGCCTAGACAAGTTGACACATAAATTTAACTATCACAGGGCCATCGGTTCTGACCACAGCTTGGGGGGAGGGGAGCTGGCACCTCTGGACTGCAGAAGAGTGACAGACAGTCCATCAGATGGCTGACTGAGCTGCAGGACCCCAGCAAAGAGCCTTAGTGTGTTCCTCCCCACCCCGAGAACTGAGGGGACTTGCCATCTGCTAATCTTGCCAGGGACATATGAGAGATATGTGATGGTTCTGTGATGGCAACCATGTTTTCCAAACAAAAAGTCTGAGCCATATGGGCTGATGAGTGGGAGTGCGTTTATATAAAGGGCAGGGCAGGATGTTTGAAATCGTGACTGTGGCAGAAAATCTGGGCTCTACAATCCACACCCATGGGTAAGGCTCCAGAACCCAGGAGTTTGTGTCCTGGATGTGACTCTCTGAGTGGCCTTGGGGCAGGAGGTGCCCCCCCACCTCTGTGTTCCTCTGTGTCAGGTACAGATGTCAGCTCTGACTCTAGGACACTGCCCTGCAGGTCTCCTAAGTCCCGTGGTCTGACGGGTCCTGTGGTCTGGCAGACCGTCTGTGATCGAGATGGCCAGCCTGCTCCCTGGCGGCTCCGAGGCACGCCATGCTTACTCAGTCTAGCAGGAATGACATTTGTTTTGAGTTCTTCTTCCAATGAAGTAAAAAGTGAAAAAAAATTAATAAAACATTTAAACTTGTACTTATTTTCATGCATTGTACTGCAAAAAGGCAACATCACCACAGATTCTGGCTTTGCCTTCTGTGCTCTTCAAGAAAGGCAATTTAGCTCGTTTTCAAGAAGAGGAATTCCAGATTTTAGAACATCCCAATAAAACGGTTGGATCTGGAATTCCAGTTTACTGCATCCACAGCACCAGCTGGATGCCCTCCATGTGATTTTGGGGGATCCCGATACAAGTCATGCTGA